ATCCATCCATCCATCCATCCATCCATCCATCCATCCATCCATCCATCCATCCATCCATCTGAAAGAAATAGGTGTTTTTTCGTGTTCGTTATCAAGATGTGTGCAAAACCGTACAAAGAATGTGCACATGCAATAGAGATAGTCTTAAAGAACAACCATTCAAAACCAGAGCTCTGCTGTCCGGTTTAATGACGGAAATCAGACCGAATCATCATCCATGAAGGGGGGCCCTGTCTTTGTCAGAGTCCCGCCCACATACAATGAACCTATTCTAATGATTAAAAAGTTCAATATGTGTTGTATTTGTTGCCAGGCATGTACCTATTAATATAGAATCATCAAGTCAATCAAAAGTCACATTTAGCAGTCATTACAGTTCTATCATAAACAAACCATACTATGTGTAATGTAACTAAATCAGTAAGTAACATAAACCCCATTAATTCCTTCACATCCATCCATCCATCCATCCATCCATCCATCCATCCATCCATCCATCCATCCATCCATCCATCCATCCATCTATCATCTTCCACTATCCAGAGTCAGGTCTCAGAGGGGCAGCAGCTTGAGCAGGGAGATCCATACCGCTCCAGTTTTTTGGGAGGATTCCAGGTGTTCCCGGGTCAGACAGGAGACCCTGACTGTGTCCAGATTCAGGGGCTGCATCTTTTGAAGGACCCAGTCTAAGTGAGCTGGGTCCTTGGTCTACCGTGAAGACCAGAAAAAAGTGTCTGTTAATTTGGACGTTCTAGCCTTCTGCTTTATTCCCACCCTTACCCTGGCGTATCTCCTGTCACCCAGCAAGCCTGACGACGCTACACTGGAGCAGAAATAGATCGAAAGCAAAATATCAGAGTTGTAAAGTAACAAAGTACAAATACTTCTTTATTGTACTTAAGTAGAATTTTTGGGTATCTGTACTTTGCTTGAGTAATTATTTTTCATCCTACTTTTTACTTCTACTTCTTACATTTTCACACAGTTATCTGTACTTTCTACTCCTTACATTTTAAATAAAGGCAAGAAGTAGAAAGTCACTACTTTTATTTCATTTTTGCTTGTTTTCATTCCAGCTTGTTATTGTAAAAAATAAATTCTATCCATATAAATTGAGTGAATTTAATTGTGGTTGAATGAGAAGTATAAATATATAAAATTCTGATACCKTATTAGTTTGTACACAAACAAATCATGTCACACTCCAGCAGGACATAATCATTCAAATAAAAGGACTGTACTTAAGAAGTATTTGTATTTCATGAATTATATTATTGTATTTGGCTGCAGCCCTCAGATAGATTTTCATTTTGGGGAAAAGTTTTGGGCAGCCTTGATAWATSTATATAAACTGAAACAGCTGGACTAGTGCATCCTAAATTTAACACAAATTAGTTATTTTAATTCAACAGTCATTTCTACATTTTTTGGAGGTCACCTCCAAATAAATGTCATTACAGAAAATCTAACTCCTCCTTTTAAATCAATACTTTTACTTTTAATACTCAAGTACAAAAAATACCAGATACTTTAATACCTTTACTAAAGTAATACTCCTAAAGTCGACTTTAACTTTTACCAAAGTATTTTTTTGGTATTATACGTGTACTTTTACTCAAGTATCACTTTGTGKTACAACACTGCAAAATATCAGTTATTATTATTGTTACAAAGTAACTAAATTAGCTCAAAAGCAATACTTGAACAACTAARGGACCTGTCGAATGTGCTCCRTCAGGGATCCACCAGATTTGTTTCTCAAATTGGGAAAAACAGGAGGAGGATTTGAATTTGGACAGCCTTCAGCGCGGTGCAGTGAAGTAAGTGGCTGACAAATTCGACCTTGGAAAGACGCAGTCCCTGAATTTGGACGCTGCCTTAGTCTCTCTAGCTTGTCCTGGGTCTTCCTTGTGGTCTCCTCCTAGTTGGACRTGCTTGAAGCATCTCCTTATAGGGTGACATCCTTACCAAATAAACCACCTCATCTGGCTCCTCTCAACGTGGAGGAGCAGCAGCTCTACTCCAAGTCTCTCCTGGATAACTGAACTTCTTACCCTGTCTCTACGAGTGAGTCCAGCTAACCCAGTTCAGCTACCTGTATCTGAAATCTTGTTCTTTTAGTCACTACTCACTGTTTGTGACCATAGGTGAGGGTAGGAACGTAGACTGATCTGTRAACAGAGAGCTTCACCTTACAGCTCAGCTCCCTCTTTACMACAACAAACCGGTACAGAGTCTGCAAAACTGCAGAAGTTGCACCGATCTGTCTGTCAGTCTCACGATCCATTCTTCCCTCACTCGTGGGATCCATCCATGTTCACCTGTTTGTTCCTTTCTGAGTTGTGGGGGAACTGGTGCCAATCTCCAGCAGTAGGAGAGGCAGGTTACATCACACACAGGTCACAAGTCCATCACAGGGCTTCATAAAGACAAAGAAGACAAACAAACATTCACTCGTCTATTCAAGCTAAAAGACAATTTATTTACCAGTCAGCCAAACATGCAGGGTGTAAATCAGCAGCTCTATCACGATACAGTTTGTTTGGTTGATGACATCATGTTTCTCTATATCACGTCTGTCATGATACATTTTCAATTCAATTCCCAAATTTGCGATCAATATGATGCGATATCATCTGCCCATCTACAATCTGTGTGTTAGACGGACGTATGACATCCATCCACTTCAGGCATATGATGATGATGATGATGATGATGATGATGTGGATCATTGTATTTGAATCATTAAATTGATATATCGATGTGGATTGATGCATTGTTACATCCTTGGTAAAAACACAGCTGCTGCAGATTTCTCAGCTGCTCTTCCATGATGTGAATCTCTTGTTTCATCACATCCTAAATGTGCAGGATTGGGTTGAGACCTGGTGATTGTGGAGGACTTTAGAGTCCAGTGGATCAGGCTTCATCAGACCAGGCACTGTTTCTCCTACAGTCCAGTTTTAGTGAGCTTGTTTGAATTGTAGCCACAGTGTTCTGGTCTTAGCTGACTGTAGTGGTCTTCTGCTGCTGTAGCCCATCTGCTTCAAGGTTGGACATGTCATGAGTTCAGAGATGGTTTTCTGCAGACTCTTGCTTGTGTTAGGTTATTTCAGCTACTTCTGTTTCAATCATCTTACATCAGTCTGCCTATTCACACAGATGTCCCTCACTGGATGTTTTCTCTGTTCTGGACAGGTCTCTTTAAACTTTAAATATAGTTGTGTGTAAAAGTCTCAGTAGATCAGCAGTTTCTGAAATACTCAGACCAGCCCATTTGGCTCCAAACCAACATTTTAAAGTCACTTAAATCCCCATCGTAATGCCTGGTTTGAACTTGAGCAAGTCGTCTTTGTAAACGCAAAGAGTTGCTGCAAAGTGATTGGCTGATTTGCTATTTGTGTGACAAGAACCTGAACAGGTAAACGTAATAAAGTAGCTGATGAGTGTGAACAGATATTGCCGTGTTCAGACACTTCGGTGTGTGTTGAGAACTAGGAACAAATACAGAAATAAGACTTGAATGTTATGTGTAATAAGTTCATACAACCACCCAGCTGGAGCCAATTACAGACATTTATTTTCACTGTAAAATGGCACTGATCAAGGAAGTGAGGTCACATATGTACACTTTTTTCCAGTTCTGGCCACTCCCAAGGGGCCTGCCGTCATGCTAACGGGGTGTTCTCCCTGCCACGTGACCAGAAACCCTTAGACCAGTGGTTCCCAACCTTTTTAAACTTGTGTACCCCCTGAGCCATTTTGTCATACCACTAGTACCCCCTCAGTCAAACGTAATGACGATTCTGCAAAACTATAATGTGCAACAGCCGAAGTCACCCAAATGAGCAAATTCTGTGAGATTCCGTGTTTTATACAGGATTCCATTTTGTGTCAATTCTCTGATTCCGTCTGCAATTTCAGCATTACAGACATCATAGGGCCCTATTTCAGTCCTATTTCTATTAAATTTTTACACACCTTGGAAATTTTTCCACATACCCCCTGTAATATGCTCACGCACCCCAAGAGGTACACGTACCCCATGTTGGTAACCACTGCCTTAGATAACAGAAAAATGACTTCTAATGTTAAAATATTTACGTGTTGTAAATGCTTCAGGTGGGTTTTAACTAATCATATCACAAGAGTACACTCTGCTTGAAATGACCGTGACAGGAGCCACTCAAAGCAGACTGTACATCAATAAATCACATCAGAACACACCCTGGTAATAAACCCTAGGAACAGGAATAAAACAGTATGTGTGATGTGTTAACAATCAGTGATAAACAGAATAGACCTATGCACAGGAATTTCGCAGCAAAGAGTAGCAACATTTTAAATTTTATTCAGAAGGGATCAGATTACAGTTCAGGTTTTTGCAGTTCCTGTTCAGAAAACGTGTTTTAATATGTCTACACAACTCAAGACCTTGGTTTGATACACTGTGAGGTCATGTTTCTACACACAAACATGGTTTGATCTATTTTAAAATTACTAAACAAGCTTTGTTTGCATAGTAAAATAACCCAGCCAAGGCCAACAAACCTTCCAGGCTTTTGGAAACACTCATGGATGCTTTAGGAAAATGCATTTTTTTTCTAAGATCTTAACACAAACAATCTGTTAGTGAGCACTGTGGGGGGAAATAACCTCCTGTTCTGATAACTTTGTGACTCTGCAGACTGTTTCTTTGTTAAATAACTCACTAGAATAAAAAGTATTATAAAGCCCATAATGATTGCTGTGCTTTATGGCAGAAATGTCTGTACTTGTGTTTCACCACAGGTAGGGTAAGTTCTGCAGAATCCACCTGAATGTTTTGTTCACCTCCAGTCAACGTTTAGTTTTAATTAGACAGGCTGATCTCTCTGAGTGTGACAGGGTGTGAACTCACTCGTCCACAGAGGGCAGCAGGATGACGTGAAAGTCAGCCACGAGCTGCGGGAGATGACAGCGGCTCTGTTCTCTGCACAGTTGTCATTTGTTAATGACGGGCCGCTCACAGGGTCTAATTGAAAGTGGWGGATTGTCTTTTTCTCTCCAGAGTTCAGCTGTGCAGAAATCAGCCAAATGTCACCGGATCTAAGCTCTGTCAGCTGAGCTCTGTTTGTCTCTCTCCTGTGCAAAAATCATCCGATTGTTTTCTTTCTTCTTGAGTCTAATAATGTGACAGAAGCCTCTGAATATATTTAAAAGACTGTGATGTTCTGACTACAATTAGCTATTTGCTTCAATTTTAGGTCATGTTCAGCTGTTATRAGCTAAAGTTAGCTTTTTAAGCTAACATCTTATTTTTCTTTCTTTCTGCTTAGTTCAGCAAACCTGTGCTCCTTATACTTCCTCATGCTAATTAAAGAATTTCCAGCTACATTTTAGCTGTTTTACTGTACATTTTGGCTGTTTTAAGTATTTTACAACACATTTATTATTATTTTATTATATAATATAAAAATAATAAAAAATAAATAAATTTTGACATTTTACACAACCTTTTTACTATCTAGGTGCTAATTTCAACTTGTGTTTGCTACCTTTAGCTTGTCCTGATGCATCTCAGTAATCCAGGTAAAAAATCAAAGGAAAAAAAATTGTACAGGTCCTCTGGACGGGTTCTTCTCTAATGAAACGTTTCGTCTCTCTTCCAAGAGACTTCTTCAGTCTGAGAGTTTCAGGCAAAATTCAGGCTTTTAAGTCCTGCCTCCAGGTGACTGATACTCACATGACCTGGCTATCGCTCACAGGTGACTGATACTCACATCACATGGCCATCGTTCACAGGTGACATGTGAGTATGAGTCACCTGTGAACGATGGTCATGTGATGTGAGTATCAGTCACATGGAGGCAGGACTTAAAAGCCTGAATTTTGCCTGAAACTCTCAGACTGAAGAAGTCTCTTGGAAGAGAGACGAAATGTTTCATTAAAGAAGAACCCGTCCAGAGGACCTATACAATTTTTTTCCTACCTTTAGCTTGTTTTTACGCTAATTTTAGCTTTTTTCTGCTTTTCCAAAACATTTTGCTCTGTTCAGCTGTTATTATGCTAAGTTAATCCTTTTTATGGTTATTTCAGCTTTTCAAATTGAACTTGCATTAACTGTTTTGTTATTAAACATTTTCAGCTCCATTTCAGCAGCTTGCAGCTAAAGTTTTCAGCAATAGGCATTCACACTTTCATTTTCACAGGAAATGCAATTTCTCTAGTTCTTGTGAGTAGGCGATTGACAGTTTTAAGAAGTGTTTGATCTGTGACTTTGTCTTTATACCCTGTCTTCATATAAACATGTATCTGTTGAACTTCTTTGTATTTTAAAAGTATAAATTTAATTGTGTTTTATTTCAGATTGTTCACCGTACTTTAGCTGCTATGCTCGGCTCTTTAGCAGCTTTAGCAGCACTGGCTATCATTGGAGACGTAAGTTTCTTTTACTCGTTTTTTTAACCCCTCACTAGTTGAGTTAGTAACAGTTGCACTGAAAACTACCTGTCTTATCAAACATGTATTTAGTCAGACTTTAAGTCAATAATGTTCCAGCAGCTTTAAGCAACCATTCTAAAAGTTTGACATTAACAGGAGATCTTGGCTCGTTAGACTGAGTTTGTTGTCCTTCCAGAATTGGGAGTGACAGACAGATAATAATAATAATAACTGCATGTGCTTCTAGTTTTTAAAACAACTATTAAAATACATTTCTGCTACTATAGGTACTGTCTAATTTGAGAAAAATACAATAAAATATTGAATCAAGACTATGTCACAATGTAGAAGTACTGATCCTGCCACTACTGAACTTTGGTCTTGAGTGTGAATTGACTGATTGGGATTTATAGGCTGTACTGCAGCCAGCCACCAGGGGGAGCACTCATCCTTTGTGGCTTCAATGTCTGGGTTCTGGTCCAGTGTCTAGTTACAGTATATCTTAATGATCTGAATGCACCCCAGATATGCAGAATGTGAGGCACTTAGCTTCTTTTCCTAGCCTAATTTGAAACAACAAACGTTTAAAATAAAGTATTAATATGGGAGTTTGAACTTACATCATTTATCTTAGATTTCTGACAATGTCAGGTACACTCTCCTCTTAAATACACATTTATTGTGGCATGTTTTTTCACAAACTATAGAAAACAAAACTTCTGGATACTACAGAAATGCTAGCCAGTTTAATGTTATTTCTGTGAACAGTGAACATTTTTAAGATATTTCAGCTTGTTTTTGAATAAAAGTTTGCAAGGTTTTACCATGTGTTGAAAACACCCAGGTGTAATTAATAATTGTATTTCATGGTTTCAGTGTAATGGTTTTGGGTCTTTGTTGCTCAGAGGGTAACATTAGGCTCAAAGCCAACCTGGCATCACCACTTCCACCTGTGCTGCTCCTGGAACCTGTCATCTGTGCAAAAACATAAAATTAAAAACACCTACAGTCACAATCTGGGCCACAGAGCAGTAACTGTGCAGCTCTGCTGCTGTGAGAGTTACATTTGTGAAAATCATCATTAAGCAAACTTTTTGCCATATCTCTTTATTTCCTGCCTTTCACAATGGTGGGTGAGCATGTAATTTCCTTTGTGTGAGGAAGTGTTTGTTAGCAAAAAAATCTAATGAATGAGTGGACAAATGTAATGAAACACTTAGAAAATAATCATTGTATCTTCATCWACATCTGGTCATTTATTTGGAGTCAACCTGATGCAAGATAATCTCTACAGCTAACTGATCTTAGCAAATATAAAAATGACTATGACTAAGTTGGTGTTACAGATACTGAGCTAAAGTTTGGTGGTAGTAGATAAGCGTAATAATCTGTCAGAGCTGATGTTTCGGACGATACTTGGTTTGCTTGTCTCATTGCTACGACTGAGCACCACTAACAAATAACAACTGAGCTCTACCTGGTATTTCCTGTATAGAAACAGTGTTTAACACATCCTCTTATAAACACTGAAAAGTACTACATGTATGACTGACTAAATGTGAAATAAATAATACAGAAATACTATTAAATGTAAAAGTAAGAGTTGTACTGACTGTTGAGTTGTGGTGAGTAGCTACTGTCTTGAATTCTGAACTCTCCCACTTTCTGACAAGAAATTCCTACTGGAAAGGCATTCCAGTCTAAACGTACGACTTGTAAGTGGGAAATTTCCACTTCCAAGTATAATTGAACCACAGAAAAAGTCGCTGGTGAAAATGCAGCGAAATTGAGRTTTTGGACTGTGATTTTTGCCTGCTAATGTTGCACCCTGTGCAGCTCCATCTAATGGTGGGATGCCTCCATTATTTTCAGGTAAAATCAAAATSAAAATGCATTATGGGAGACGTAGTTTATGGTCAATGTTGGCTTTAAAGCAGCTTATTTTAAAACATGAAAACATCTTTGAAGCTCCTGCGGGCCAAATATGGCCCGTTTATACTTTTAGTAATGCTACTTTTAAAAATATATATTAATCTGAACCTTCTTTAATAAAGACTAACTTTGGTATTAATCTTCATCTCTCTAACAGAGACCCAGTCTGGTCACAGTGGTGGAATGGATCGACTACGAGACTCTGGCTCTTCTGTTTGGCATGGTGAGCTGCTCCTCACGTTTATTTACCAACATGTTTTACAACACAATATAGAGTTTATGTTGAATCCTTAAAGATTTATGCAATCCAAACTAAAAATGTGCTTCTTTTATCTTGTCATTTAACAGAGGCATTAAAACCTGACATAAACACTGTATCTATAGAAGCAAACACGTCCTTAACCACTTAACCCCCAAAATGCCTGAAAAGGGCATATATTTATATTTTGACTGCTATGTTTGACTAGCACATTTGAATGAAAGACAAAAACATTCACACAAATTATAATTTTATGACAAGATTATAAGAAGAATTCTGTATCAAAGTTATAAAAACCTTGCAGCAACAAAGAATGATATTGTACAAAAAATTCTCCAAACACACATTGAAATGTTTCAYACAGTAACACTTCATGCAAAGACAATATTTATGTCAATATCTGGTGACTTTTTGTTTTTAAATGATCAGAATGACACACAATAAATTAAAGAAAAAAATATTCTTCTTGCAGATGGTGCTGGTGGCCATTTTTTCAGAAACTGGTTTCTTTGATTATTGTGCAGTGAAGGTGAGTACACTGAGTAATACAAAAAAAACAACAAATGTTGAAAATATGATGTTCAGTTGAATTATTCTTCTTTCGATTTGCCTTCTTCCCCCTTTGACCATGTTAGGTACTGAGTGACAAGTCTTTAAAAATAGTTTCTCACTGCTGATGCATCAAAGTCATGGAGCTTTGAGCCTTTTCTRCACTTTTTAAAATTAGCACTTGGGACAAAAATGCTTTGAATGTTGATTTTTCTGACCTGATAACAAGTATGGTTCTGAAGGGAGACCGATGAAGTTCTGATGTTTTTCTTTACATCCTCACCCAAAACATCACTGTTTTTGTTTGGACTTCAGAAAAATTGATGTTAAGTATCACATGTAGGGTAAATTTGTGTAGTTTATAGTTTGTTACAAGGTGTATTTTTCAAAGGCAACAGYGGATGTAATCTGTAAACATGTTAATCCATAGTTTTTTTAATGTTAGTACAATCTAACATATTGAAGTGTTTTTCTCCATCTCACTAAATATGCAAATAATCAAATTAGTCAGAATTGTACTCTGTTTTAGGATAAGACTGTAATCTTTGATACACAGAGGAAAGCGATCAATTATAATTAAAATATTGATAATTAATGGTGAAAGAGTAGGATTAAATAAATTTATACTTTGCCCCACTCCTTTTCGACATGCAAGCTGAATAAAAAGTGGAGCGATACTTGTGTATTTAATGTAGGTTTTTTGTGTGTGTAGAAATGAGCTGTTAGATATTCAGTTTTATTTCTGCTCAGTGTTGATGATGAAAAAGAAACAGACTTAGGTGATTCAGTGAGTGGTTGTGATCACTTTCAGCTACCTATGTACTAATGTTTTGTCCAATGTGTCTTAAAATGTATGTATTATAGTATTTTTTTTTAGTTATGGTGGCCATTTTGGATTTTTTGATTTGGCTTCCATATGTTATTGTTCTCAGCTACCACCACATCACATTTCAGCCCAATATGTCTTAAAAACGGGTGACTCATAGTCGTTCAAAATTAGCTCTGGTGGCCATCCTGAATTGTGTTTTAGCATTCAGAATTTTTAAAAATTGTTAAGAGTTTTCAGCTTTGTAAGTCTAAACGTGGCTGAAATATAGCCTTTTCAAAAATTAGCAATAAACTTCTTTTAATAAATGGCAAATGGCTTGAACTTACTGTATATATCAGTTTATCATGTCCACATGGACCCCAMAGTGCTTTAYACTTCACTGATGGTGGTAAGCTACATTGTAGCCACAGCTGTCCTGGGGCACACTGACAGAGGCAGTCAGAGAAACTTCATCGTGTTAGTGAGAAAATTAAATTTTTTAGACTGAATATGTTTTAAGATGGCAGTAATCCACTTCAGTCTTGGTGAAGTTCTGACTAATGCTGGAAACATACTCGCTCCGACGCCGACGGGTCGACGCGGGGTCACGTGGTTGTTCGGCAGTCGTTTTCGCACAGACCTTTCATAGTTCCTGCACACTGCGCCGAGCTCGGGGGAACCCCTCCCTCCCACCAAAACATACGTCACTGCAGGGAATTTCTCCCCTCAACAGCAATGCGGAAAAAAAGTCACTCACCAGATGGATTTTTATCCACATCTGTCCTGGTTAAAAAGCTCCACAGTTTCAGATTCCTCCGTGCCTGTTTATCTGTTATGTCTGTTTATCTCCATTCATG